ATATATTATACATATATTATATATAGAATATAATATAATTTGTATAATATAAACATACTTTTTATAAAATCTTTTTATAAAATATTTATATTATTATTATAGATTTGGGTAACTATGATACTGCGGGATTAGCAACATATTACAATACAGCGGATACTTTAACTAGGCCACAAGTACGACCACCATCACCACCGAATGCTTCGCAAACAGAAACGAGAGAAACTGTGACTGTATCTACAAGACAACCATCAGTTTTACCGTCTACCACGATAAGTTCTGTTTCTAATATAGGTAGCGGTATTGATAATACCGATGTCGATGAGGCGAAACGAGATGATAGTGCGGGCGGTGGTGACATCGAAAAATATGCACAAGACAATCTTAATTTGAATTGCGGACGGCCAAAAGGATTAAGATTATTATTTCGAAAGAAATTCAGCGTTCGTGATATTCTTAGCTGGTCTAAAGATCCAATACCACAACCAATGTTGGTAGTTGTAGATGGTGAAAAGTTACTGAAACGAGAAGCTTGTAATCTGTTTAGATTGGTGCAAGTGTATATGGGTGATCGAAAAGCTAATGTAGGAATGACATTAGATAGTGTAGCTATGGACATTGTGAATACAGCGTATTCGAAACCACCATTGCGAGATGAATTATACGTCCAGATCTGTAGACAAACTACAGAAAATCCACGGAAAGATAGTTTACGTAGAGGGTGGGAACTAATGGCTGTCTGTTTAGCTTTTGTGCCGCCCAGTGCTACCTTCGAACCTTATCTTGAAGGTTATATGAACAGACATCGTGATCCTAATTTTCAATTTCCGGAAGTGGCCAAATGGCCAATTCACGTGCAAGTTAGTCATTATGCAACCGTTGCATGTCGTCGTTTGCAACGAATCGGAGTACATGGCAAACGACAACCTCGCAAGGCTACTATAGAAGATATTGATCAAGCAAGAGTATGTTTTATTTTTTTATAACATAATTTTATTTTATATTAATTAATAATAATTTTATTTTATTATTTTTTTTATTATATTTAAACTACGTTTTTTATAGTGATGATATTAGTATTATCTTATTGAAATATTTATACGATTTTTTATTTAATTTTTTAGTTACAAAACTTATTAAAATTACGACAACTTATTTCGTTTCGTTTTGTAAACTTTGAAATTATTACGAAATATCTAGTTTTCATACTTTTTAAAAACACATTTCCATAATGAAAACTATGTCTGTTTTAAAGATGTTAGGAGATTTCATCTAAAATGTTTTTATTTTTAATGAAGTTTTTACTATTTTACGTATTATTAATATAATGCTTATAATGAATCAAAACAATGAGTAAAATTAATTCATATTTATGTATGAAGAATTGAAAAATCGTGGCTGGAAACAGTTTTTAATTCTATCTAAAATACTTGAATGAAATATTCTTATATATCTTATATTTTATATTATATAAAATTGACAAGAAATACTTAAAAGAAAGAATGCAGATTTAATGAATTATTTTTCATAAATTCAATCAATTATAAAAATAGAACATAGCATATTGAAAAGTTTTACATTTTCAAATGTATCATATAATAGTGACTGAGCAAATAGACTTCTCATAGACATGTCTAGATTTCTTTCTAATTTTTGTATTATATAATATATATATATCAAGTCTAAAAAAAGAATTTAATAAATGACAAACTTACAATAAAATGTAAATATTATTAATAAAAAAGCATTACATTCTCTTATTTTTTATTATCATTTTGAAAAATGATTAATTGAATATTGAATACGAAGTTATGAAAGTTTAAAAAAGAAAAAATTGATAAAGATTTGAAAATATAGACATCTAAAAGTTTTTGTTTTTTAATTCTAATTTATTTAAAATATTCCAAATATATAATATTGATATATAATGGTATGCAGTTATAGCAGTTTTAATTGATGATTTTTATTTTTGATATAATAATTTGAAATCTTTCTTTTTCTTTATTTTTTATTTACATTTTGAAGCTTCACTAACATAATATAAGCAAATAAACTATTTTATATTTCTTTGTATTAGAAAGAATATTAAATTTTTTTTATTATAGATTCAAATTTTCCGAGCATCCATGTTTGGAGCAACATTATCAGAAGTGATGGCTCTACAGAAAGATAGATTTCCAAATCGAGAATTACCATGGATACAAACGACATTAACACGTCAAGTATTAGCTCGAGGAGGTATCTTGACGGAAGGAATTTTTAGAGTGTCTGCAGATGCAGACGAGGTTAATGCTTTAAAGGCGTGCTTGGACAGATTCGAGGATGGTACGATTTTGGCAGCTTCTCAAGATGCTCATGCACCTGCTTCTTTATTAAAATTATGGGTTCGAGAGCTTTACGAACCATTAATACCCGATTCATTTTACACGGAATGCGTGTCTATGAGGCATGATGATACTGAAGCTTCTGCAGTCAATGTCGCTGCGCTTGTAAATCGTCTGCCTGATTTAAATCGTCGCGTTCTTTGCCATTTGATACGATTCCTTCAGGTTAGTATTTATTGCTATCAATAACTTTTATTTAATCAATATAAATTGTTATATTTAACAAATTTTATTTTTTAAATGAAAAAAATAATTTAATTATATAATAATTTATTACATTTATTTTTTTATTAAAATATTATATTCTTTTTTTAAAAAAGTTTTAATAAACAAGTAGAATATTTTATATTATTTATGATATTTTATAAAATTTACAATTTTGATTGATAGTATCTTTCTCATATGATATATAAAGATTGATATTAAAAATTTACAAAAGTAATTATAAAAAGATTTAATATATAAAAAAAATAAAATAATTATAAAAATATAAAAAATATTATTTTAAAAATTATTTTAAACTATATAATAAAATAATTTAAAAAAATTGAATTAGTTCCAAAAATAAAGTATTATATTATTAATATAAAATAATGGAGTTAAAAAATGTTAAAAAATAATCTAAAATAGTAAAATACATTATTCATCATATAGATAACAAATAGTATTTAATATTATTTTTTGACAGTAAGAAAATTAAAAGAAATTCAAGCCAAATAATTTAAAAAATAATTGTTTTTTTATCAAGATTTTCCTTTCATTTTTCAATATATTTTATTAATTGTGTTATGTATAATAACATTTAAAATATAAAATTTATAGAATTATATATGAGCGACTTCTTGTCCAAATCTTTTTTGGAATATATAATTGTAAGAATCAATATGTTATTTTTCAATTACTTAATTAACGAAGTTGTGATTTATGAATTAAATTGTATTTTATTTACTTAAAATTTTTATGTTAAATATCGATATTAATCAAAAGTTTTATTATTACATTTGTTAAAAATAGATTTAATGAAAATAATGAACTTATTACAATGACTTCGTTTTTTTAGTTTATCTTCTCAGTTAGATTTTCGTAACGTATAATGAAATAAATACATATTTATTCCAGATTTTCGCCAGACCAGAAGTCGTTGCTCGCACTAAAATGGATGCAAATAATTTAGCAATGGTGATGGCACCAAATATATTGCGGTGTACCTCGCAAGATCCCCGTGTGATCTTAGAAAATGCACGAAAAGAATGGCTTTTGTTCGTACTCTTATCGAGTCATTAGAACTGCTTGGGTCGATGATCTTCACTGACCATTCTATTGCGCACTAGAAGAAATAACACTCTAGACTACTATGCCAAATGAATCAGCTGTATATTCACATGTATTGTTAGTTATTTCACTGTTTTCTATTATTGTTCACTTTTGTTTTTCTTTTGTCATTATCACACATGATATTCCCTATAGATCCGTGGATGTTCATTATTGTAATTTAGTGCTAAAGTCTTACCAAGCTAATCACTGATCCTGCTCCTTGTTTTCCTATTTATTATTTATATACAGATTATATGTTATACAGATAGAGATTATTAGATTATATTATGTATATCGCTATATATTCATATTATATATTTTACCAATTCTTGTTACCGTGTTGAACAAACGCGGACGGCTTTTTTACTCGATCATTGTTGAATCTCGTGTAAGATAAAAAATGATGTGTTACCGTGTATAGCTGCACTCCGCGATAATCTTTTTGTATAAGCAATGAATTGGCGTGTACAACGTTTATCGAGGAGTAAATATTGCAAAAAAATTAGCAAGTTGTACAAGTGTATTTCTTTACCTGTATTTCTTAGCCTTTGAAAACTTACCTTTCTATAAAAAAACTAAAAGAGAGGAAAAATTATATTTCTTTCGATAAAAATATTATTATCGATATTAATAATATAATATAAATATTATATCGTGATTATTAATCAAAATGGTCTTGTTCAACATTTTACATTGTGTTATATTATAAAATGGTTTTTAATGTTAAAAATATTGAACAATTTACAGTACAGATATTCGTATCATTTACAATTTATTTTCAGTTTGTACAATTAATCTCAAAAGTTACCAAAATAATATATATTTAATATATATATATATATATTATATATAAATAGTATTTAAAGTATATATAAAAAGAAAAAAATATCACAAATTATTATCGCGATTACATCCCAAGACAGTATTTTTTTATGTAAATATTGTATAAAAGTACATGTAGATACAGTTCATATTTGAACCAAAAGATATTTGCGTTAGCAATATCTGCCAGAAATCAATCACAAAGAATTATCTGCTTTTACACTAATATTAGCATCTAGTTACATCTACCCAATATTATATACAAGATGTACAATTGATGGTAATACTGCTGTTGAATGTTCAGTTTTTTTATATTATATCATTTCGATCGAATAGAATATTTATATTTCATCACATCTTTACAAAAAAAGTGAATTCCTCCGTTAAAGTGATTTATCGAGATCTTTTGTGTAAAAATTTTTTAAAACGATGATAAATTTTTCAAAATATTTTTTTGTGATATGTGAACATAATTCCACCATATTTTTTTCGAAAGATAAGTATTGCTGTTTTATAATTTTTTACCTGTAAATCTGCAACTTATTTTTTCAGTTGCTATTATGTATGTTTTTTTAAATAAATTTTGTCAAAATGAATTTGACCTGATTTTTTAATAAAAAAAAAATAGAATGAATACATTTTAAATCAGAGTTCCATGAAATATAATATTAATTAATATTTGCACATATTTCATAATTTTCATTTATGCTATTGAATGTCATTATTTGTGTTTCAAATACATAAAGATCCATTTTAATTTTTATACTTTCCACAGGAATAAAAACCTCAACTATCATGTTGTAATGAGACACATAATTGAAGATATTGTCAGCAATTATCGATGAAAGATGCTATGGAGCCACTGGCAATTTCTGCATATTCTTTCTTATTTGCTGAACAAAGTTTACTGGTGATGTCTGCTTCTCTTTTTCTGCACATACAATAAAATATATAAAATTATTAAATGTCATTTAATCTATAGTTCAAATATTATATACAAGATGTCCCAAAAATGTTGTAACATAAACTAAAAATGAGATAATTTTAAATATTTTTTTTTTTGCAAAACTTTCGTTATGGTACTTTCCTTGTTTTATTAACAAATTATTAACAAGAAATACTGGCCAATTACGAAACGTATAGTCTAGTCGACCGAGACAGTTACGATGACTATGTATCGCTGACCGAACATGAACAAGTTCAAACAACATATCTCAAAAGAAATGTATTGAATATTATATTTATTTACTTATTCATTATTCATAATAATTCGACATAATTTTTTATCGATAAAAAAATATTATATTTAACATATTTTTTCAAAATATGTTAGATTTGTTCATGTTTGGTGTGTAACCAACACTATTACCACGGTTCGACTAGACTACGAGCTTTGTGATTGGCTAGTATTTTTTAAAATCGTAACGAAAATTTTTGCAAAGAAAATGTTGCTTGAAATTTTCTCAGAAATCTCCAATTTACAGATATTCCAATATTTTTGAGATATTTTGTTTATTATTAATATTAGAAATTTATGTATATGTGCATATATTTTTAAATTTTGTTTATAATTGTATATACTTGAAAAAATAAAAATCATGCACATTCTAAATAAACTAATAAACTAAATAATAGTATTTTTATAAAGATGTTAATTGTTTATTGATAATATTTATAATATTAAAATTAAATTAGTACATTTATATTAAATTTGCTATATTTATAATATAATAAATAAATTTGGTATTTGAATAATGAATTCTAAATTATATTAATTTTACGAAATTATATATGATACAATTATGTATAATGATTATTTTATGATTATATATGATATATAATTGAAAGAAAAATAAGACAAGGAAAATAATATTATATATAATGGACATTTTTTTTTATTTTATAAATATGTATATATATATTTCCATTTTTATTTGATTTTTTAGTAATAATTTTTTTAAGAAGAAACTTAGAATAATAATAAATAGATATTATTAAATAATTACTATTTAATATTTTTAATGAAGATATTATTTAAATTTTATAAACATATAATAAAATGCGGATAGATTCAACAATTTTGTAGGATAAAATTATATTAAAAAAATATTAATTTTATTGGTTTTCCTACTAATAAAAAATATTTAATTTAAGATTGATAATAATATATAATTTTAATATATTTATATATTTTATTAATATAACATATATTTTAATAATTTTAAAAAATCTTTTAATTTTTAATTTTTTTTAAATTTTATATTCCTAGTTAGATAAATTTGTAAGCAGTAGATTTTATTAAAATTCTGTTAGTAATATTTATTGTCAGAAAGACCTCAAATAGGACTATATTCGAGTTTGATAACAGATATAGCAAAATATATAGGAATAGAATAAAACGACAAAAATGGAACAAATTTCCATCATGGCTTGTCAAATTAGATAAATCAAAGTAGGGAGCTTGTTTATCAAACTTTGTCAAAAAAAATAATAATAAGAGCAGAATTTTAATTTTAAATTTTAAATAGAAGCGCATAACTAATGTTTAAAATCTATTTCATTTTATTGATAATTAATATTAGAATCCATTTTACTAAAAAGAAATATATGAAAAAAATAAAAAAAAATATTGAATTCATATATTGTTTTTGTTATACCTTAAGCAGTTGTAAATGATTTAGTTATATATTTCCATTTAAAATTTAAATAAATAAGTTACAGAATTTATTCAATTTTTTCTACCTTTTTCATATTAAAATTTATATAGCAGATATTTCTCATGCTTAATTTGATAAAAGATTTAGCGAGATTTACAAACTCTTTCTAAGTCTTTTCATATTATCCGGTTTTTGTCATCCAAAATTGAAAACGAATATCAATTTATATAATACTCATTTTCCACTACATATAATTAAATATATATTAAATATGTTCTTAAACTTTAACTTAAACTGAACGATTTTGAATATTGCACAAATGTGATGCTTGAACTGATGCTATTATCCGAAAGATTACCTACTGCCATAGGACTGTATAATCATTTATATTATGAGCTTCGAGTAAACGAATGATTTTACTTTAACTTATTTATTGCTTTATTTATGGCTAATTGACGATTGTAATGATTTTAACTGTACTTTGATGCAAACTGTATCGTTACTGAATTCTATTTGATCTGTATTTTATTTCTACTCTAACTGATCTCATCTAAAAAGCTGTGGCAGGCTTTAGCTTCTTTTTCTTTTTATCATTACTTTTCGTGAAAATGCAAACTGAAAAGGGGTTAGAGGGATCAATAGTTGCGTTGGAAAATGGTTTCGAAAAATAAGCTCTCGCGGGAACGCGTCGCAGAATCAGAATTTTTGTGCTCGCTTCCACGGTGATCCGTGGATGTAGAGTACAAGATGTAGAAGTGTGACTTTTGAATTGTTATTACATTTGTTTAAATTGAGGATCTGGAAATTAAAAAACTATACCTCATAAATTATTATTATTATTCATAAATTAAACTATTGAAAATATTTAAGCTATTAAAAATAAAATCCAGGATATCTGACCGATTCACAAGTCTTGGGTTTATTCTTAACAAATATAGAAAATAAAATAATAAAACAGCAGTAGAAAATTATTCTTTATATCAATTGATAATTTATCATTTATTTTCTCATTTTCCATAGAATAATATAAAAAATGGTTTTGTATAGATTTTGTCAATTTTATTGCTAATTTGCTGTCAATTCGCACAAATTGATAAATGAATAATACAATATAAAGAAAAATCATAAAAATTTTTATAATAGGAAGGATATAATTTTAAATCATAAAAATCATATTATCATATAAGTAATTTGCTATCTAATATAATATAAATATAATTTAATATAATCTAAATCAAGTAATATTTTATTATTATAAATTATATATATAATTATAAATTAGTCTGAAATATTTCGTAATACTTCAGAATCTATCTTTTCTTTAAGAGAAGGAAATAATATTACGAACGCAATGATAATATAATAAAAAAAGGACAGATTTCATGATGTTAGAAATATTTATTGCATTATTTATGATTTCAATTTAAAATAATAAAAAAAAATATTAATACAGTATAAAATGATATGCATAGAATATATGCGTACAATGTGTTGGAAGAAGTTAAATTACATATTGAAAAAAGTTAAAAATACATTATGATATTGTAAAAAGTTAAAAATATCAATTGAAAAAATTGAATATATGCATATATATGGTTTATATATAATATTGAATAAAATAATGCAAAAAAAAAAAAAATAGAAAGAGAAAAAAATTTATTGTAGTAGAAAAAAACACAAAAATACTTATTTATATAAGGTACACTATGTCATATTTTTGAATATTAATATATTATAGAGTATTTTTCTCAATACTTATATTTATCAAGTTAACTATAATTGTTAAGACTCGTGAAATGGTCAGATCCTGCTTTATTTTCAACAGTTCGAATACCTGCCAACAGTCTAGCAGTAATTTATGAGCAGGCATGGTTTTCATAATGTTTTCTTAGTTTAAACAGATACCACAGCAACGACTACTTCACATGTGCATTTGCACACCACCGTGGAAGCGAGAGCAAAAGTCCTGATTCCGCACTGCGGCGCGACCTCGCGAAGGCCCATCCTTCGAAACCGCTTTTCGACGCAATGATTGATTCCTCTAACTTCTCTCTGTGTGCATTTTCACGAAATACAAGGATTGGAGGAAAAACCAAGACTCGCGGTTTAGCAGTCGAATTAGAACAATCAGAGAAGACAGTAGTCGAATTAGAGCAAGCAGAGAAGACAGGAGTCGAATTAGAGCAGGCAGAGAAGGCTCCTGTCGAATTAGAGTGGGCATAGAAGACAGATAGATCAAAGCACAGTTAGAATCATATAGTTTGTCGCAAAGAGTTAAAGTATCACCATTTGTTCACTCAGAGCTCATAAGATAAACGATTATACAGCTCCTACAGTAGTAAGTGGTCCTTCGAGCAGTAATATCAGTTTAAGCACCCCATTTGTGTAATATTCAAAGTCGTACACGCTTGCGATTTTAACAATAATATATTTATCAATTTAGTATTTTGTTATTAATATATAAATTTATATACTTATGTATATTATATTTTGGGATAAATCTAAATTTTCAATATGATATATAAATAATATGATATATAAATATATATAATATATAAATAATATATGTAAATATTAGATTATTTTGAAAATTTTATTTTGTTCCACTAGATTAAAAAAATATGAAAATGAAATATCCTATAAGATATCTATATTTTTCATCATTTTGTTATTATTTAAATTGGATATATATTTATTAAACAGAAGAATATATATTAGAATATATATTATAAAGAATATATTCATTTATATCAGATAAATCTTATGCTATGTAATTTTTTTCATAAAAATTTTTAAAGTCATTAAAGAATTTTATATGACATAAGATTCGATACAGATAAACAATTTTTTTTTGCAAATGAAAAAATAAGTGATTATTCTTATTTTATATATTACTTAAAATCATGTTATCGAATGCGAATGATAATAATAATTGTTAAGCTCCCAGAATTCATAGACGCAATTATTTAGCAAATAAAAAAACATTTATTGTTAAATAATTTTATTAAAATAATTCAAAAATAAATAAATAATTACATATATAAATATTAAATTATAAAATATAGTAAAGTTGATATATCATTTGAATGTTTGTACTGAAATCGCAAAATTTAAATATTGAGAATCTATGATTGACGTTCTGAATCTGAATAAATTCTTGACGTTATTCTATTTGTACTTTGTAAAAAATTATAAATTATAACTTCTGCTCTATCATTTTATATTTTTCAGTATCATGTCCTACTTAGTTAGATTTTTCTTTTATTAGGTTCACTAAAATCTTCTCTAAAGTCTATTTCTATAGAAGATTCTGAATCTGGATGTATCTATTTCCACGTTTATGTCTGTCATTATTTACATCTTATTAGATAAAGGATTTTGTTTGCTTGGATCAATTTCGATATCATTTTTTATAATTTCATTTTACTATCATTGTGTTTAATCTAAAAATCTTTCAAGTCTTTAATTTTAAGACTAAACATTTATAATATGTCTATTGAACGGAAACATCAAAGATTTTGACGTTTCTTTTGATAATTAGGAAAAAACGTTAAAATAAATTGAGTAGTAAATAAATTTTTAAAAATAGCAGAGATTTTCAATCGGATCATTTAAAAAATCTAAAGATGGTCCGAATAAATATTCTGTATTTGATAAATATATGTAAATATATTTTGCGTGATCTGTAATCTATGTTTGATAACATTCTATTTTACAATTTATGAAAAAATTCATTATTAAATTTTTAATTATTATTATTTAAATCAAAAAGCATGCGAATGAAAAAATAAAAAAATGTTTATGAAATAATAGATATATCTAAAATTGTTTCTTTTTATATTTTCATCGATAAATCTCCGAAATAATGTTGAACTCAAGATAATAAAATCTTGATATATCCATATGCAATAAAATTGTTCAAGTAAAATTACCTCGAAGTTAATACTTATAGCTTTTATGCTATATTAAATTGTATATATATATATATTTATTTGCATTGCATTGTCAGGATAAAGTAAATATTTTACTCAAATAATGTAAATACCCATTATTTTTTCCATTTTTATCTTACTAATAATACGTTATTACTGCGATTTTTTTTTAATGGTTAGATTTTTATCCAACAATTTTATTCATATATATATATTAGAATTTACTTTAAATAAAATCGTTATTTTAAACTTGATATTGCTAACATTTTTGCCAATAAAAATTTTTACTAGGAAAATGAAAAATCCTATTATAACGTTACGATAAGTAGAAAAAGATATAATTAATGTTTTTCTAAAAAATTGATTCATTTTTATTTCTTTAATAATCAGTATTATATTATATATAATATATAAATTATTAATAAATATTAATATATAATATATTAATTAACAATTAATAAAAAAATAATACAAATAATAAAATAAATTCATTGATAATTCAATGATAAGAAAAATATATAAATTTTGATAGATAGATTTGAAATTATACTGTTTATGTAAATATTTAAAATATTTAAATTTAAACAAATTAATAGTATAAAAAAATTTTAAATCACAGCTTTTAAAATAAGTTAGTAAAAAAAAAGTTTTAATTATAACTGAAGAAAAATAGTAACGAACAATTCGCGGAAAAAGTTATTAAATTAACTATAAACTATAAAAATATATTATCATATTAAATTAATCACATTAGAATAGAGTTATATAATTACATACATATATATACAATTTATTTCTAATAAAAATGAATTAATAAAAAAAATTAATTTTAATAATTTTTTGTAAATATCTCGAAAACTAAATAGTGATTATATGCATAAAAAATTTCAAAATTTTGTCTATTATAACATATCCAAAAATTATTAAAATCAAGAAAGCCTTTTTTTAATTTTTATTTTTTTTTTACTATATATATAATTATTAAGCCTTAAGTTTTGTAATATTTGCAAAAAGTGAATATAATACATTATGGTAGTATCAATCATTTTAATAAACCGAAATTTTGAGAAATTGAAAAAGAAAAAATAAATTCCAAATAAGATTTTAAATATTTATTAATTTTTATTATATTAATAAAAAAAATTAATAATATTAAAAAACTAATAATTAAAAAAAAATATTAATATTGAAATATTATAGATTGAATTCTGCTTATATTTGCGAAAGCGAATTACTATTTCTGTGAAAGAAAAACTTGTTTAAAATGAAGTTTTTACAATATATTTCAACTTATTAAGATCGGTGAAAATGGAATTAATCGATAAATTAACTTATTTTATATTTTATATTTTATATCTTAAAATTAATTCTGAATTTAACTTTTATTTCCTTATATTTTTATTCTATGATTTTATTTATATAATGACATCATTAATGATAGTTAAATAATATCAACTTACCCTCTTCCTGGTAATTCCATTACGTCCACGGTAACACTATTCACATAAAGACGATCGTTACACCAGAAAAAGCACAACGATCTTGGTTGCAATACATCCATATCGTAGGTCCATGAAAGTTCAACACGCTTGATTTTTCCAAGTGAAGCGGATGCTCCGACTGGATGGGCGACGACCATTCGGACTGTCGAGCCGTGTTCTAATTTCATATAACCACTGTGGTTATAGTGTAAAAGAAATAAAAAAAATTGTATTGTTTTTTTGTTATCGAAACATTATACTTTTACTTAAAAATAAGAATTATACGAAATCGACAATCTATCTATAGTTAATTTATAGATAGATTTGTCGATTATATATATTTAAAACTTTTTGTATTTTCTTTATCTTATTTTTCATTATTTATTGATTACATAATAAATAGTATTAAAATCTATTGATTTATATTATTTTTTTAAGAAGAATGAAATAAAAATTAATGAATGAAAACCTAAACCTCTTACCTAGGCGTAAGATCAACATCACGAATAATGCCGTTTTCTGCGTGAAGAGTAACTTTCATGAAACCTTGGACCCAGCTCTCTGCAGACGATGGTTGAGCGAGATTGATAGTGATCCTATAGTGTTTCCCTGAAAAATGATCGAAATTAAAGAGATAAAAAAAATTATTAAAATTCATGAAATGAATAAAATTCTACAAAAACTATCTTTTCTCTGATTTGTAACATATTATATCACGTGAAATGTCACGTAAAATCAACATTTTGAATAATTTTTTTATTATACTACATAATTGATATATAAAAAAATTAATCTTAATTTTCGAGATATTTGCTATTATTAATTTTGTCTATTTGTATATGTCCATGATATTTTAATAATAATACACACATATACAGGATATTTATAAAAATGAAGGACACCTTTAGAGGATGGATTCTAGATATCAAAAAAAGTTCATATACCGATAAAGTTTAATTAAGTTTTTAATCATTTTAAGTTTGTATTAGATAAAGTAAAATGGCGAAAGAACGAGAATATTCAGCTGTACCATATTGGTACGCAGAAGTACCATATTGCAATATCTTTTGTGTAATAGAATTTTTCAATTAAAAGTACACTACATACTTTTTTGTGTACAAATAAATGTAATAATGTAATAATTTAATGTAATAATATAATGTACGTTTATTTAACTTTTTATTTAACAAAAACCTCGAATAAGTTTTAATAAATTTCAAAATATTAACACATATACTATTTTAATAATAAATTATTTTATGGTATAAACATTTTATTTGAATCCATAGCTGAATTGTTGTATGATAATTTGTTGTATTCAACCTGTTTATTCATCGAAATCTCTAAAAGCAAATCAAAACACTCCCGTAAGATTTTAGATTAAAAAAGTTGAATATTTTTTTATACACAAATTTGCTTATTCTTATTATGTACTAGAATGTCATTAATAATACATGAATCAATTTAAATTTCATAAATCAGTTATAGTTGAAAAAGCTTTATCTCTATTTCATTTGAATTCAATGTTTTTTATTCCCATATAAGATTACTAAACAGAAAAAAATAATAGTCGAAATTCAATATCTATATTTTGACCATGTTATATTAATTTCATGTTTTATATCCATTAAATAAATCATATAAACACTTTTTACACTAATTATACTTTTCTTTTTCATATTACTATGCATATTAGCGATATCTTTTTTTATTCATTCATTAGTTTTTTTGAATAAAATTATGTTGATTATTATTTTTTATCGTACAATGTTATATGAAGATTATTTGAGTAAAACTTTATTTTAAACAAGTACTCAAATATATATTATTTTATCAAACTCTGAATTTGATTCCGCGGTAATATGTTATTAAAATAGCATTGTTAACAATTGAATGCTGATCGTTATCATAGAAAAAAAAATATGATAAAAAGAAAAAATGTAATATTTAAAATTGAATGTTATATTTGTGTGTATTAAATTTAAATACGAAAACCTAAGTTAATAATCTTCTTATCGCTAAGATAGTATTCTGGTCTCGATTCATTCGTTGGTAATTGTATATCAGAAATAGAAGTGTAAAAAAGAAATTAATGAATTTATAATATTCATTCGAATATATATAAAAAAATATTGCAATTGCAATATGTATGCATTTTTTATGAATATGTGATATTAATGTGTAATATTAATTCATATTATTAATATGTGTTAAAGTCGAAAGCTTGAATAACTTTGGATATTGCACAAATATGATATCTAAACTGATATTACTACTTGAAGGATCACCTACTACCGTAGGTCTGTATAATATCATTTGTATAATTATGTTTATATTATGATATATTAATCATTAATGTTTTATTATACTATTTTCTTTTAAATTAGTATTTACTATTTTTATTTCAAATTTTCTTAAAAGTAGAATTCTTTCTTTTTATTTTTATTTTATTAAATATTATAATGATTTTTTTTTAAATTTGTCAAAAATATGTCACACAATCAATTTTGATATATATATATAATTAATTAAGTATTTATAAATATTATAAAAATCTTGAAATAATAAAATTTAAAATTATAATAATTTTAATACTCACTACAATAGGGATCCTCCTTGCCTGTGGTAAAGAAAAATTTGGAGCCTAGCAAAGACAGAAGATCTTGTCTTCCTACCAAGGCTGGACTAGTGTCTGCATGATAGCCCATAATACCACAACTAAGACTATTGTTACTCTTGCATGAGAAACATTCGCCTCTGAGGAAGCTGGCGTAACTGGAGCACTCATGAGCCACATATTGGCACTTGGAATTAATGCTTTCAATGAAGAGTTTTATGGCACGCACATGATTGCAGGCTACCAGCACTCGTGATGCTTCCTCCAGACCTTCTTTAATAAGAGTTAAGGGTAAAGAAGGAGTTGTTTCGCTTAGATCTGTACATCCTGGCTGTTCCTTGCCATTGTTTGGATAAAAATCTAAATGACCGCATGGCTGGCTCATTCCATATCCTGGAAGTCCTTATTATATACTAAATTAATTTATTATTAATTAAGATTTAATAATTAAAATAAGTATAGTTTGAAAAAAAAATATTTTATGTATATTAAGTATAAAATAAATTATTAAATATAGTTTTTTAATTAATATATTTTAATATTAATAATTAATAATTTAATATAATAAATTATCATCTAATAATATATATTTTTAAATAATATTAATTATTATAAAAAATATATATTTTATTTTTCTTATTATGTTTTGTTTAATATGTTGTAGTAATAATATGTTCTTGTAATAAATATGTGTTCTTTTTTTTTCAAAAGCAGTAAATTGTTAACTTGGATTTTTTTAATAACCAAAAAAAATATTAACAAATATTAATTTAATATTAATTAATTAAAAAATTTTAAAAATCTTAATAATAAAAGCAAATAACATATGAAAAATTAATTTATAATTTATTAACTGGTATGATGATTATTTTATTATTGATAGAATTCTAAATAAATGTTAATAAATATTGGACAATTTAAAGATAATAATTAAAAATAATAATTAAAAAAATAAAAAATTGATACTTTGAGTTGTATTATTTTATTTGGAAACTAGTTGCATTTTGCAAAAAATTGCATTTTTTAATAAGAAATTAAAAATAAATTCTAAAATCAATGTTTCATGAATATTTCTCGAATTATCACAAGAATAAAAATCAGATTTTAAATTATTATTGTATTACAATAAATTTAATAAATTTTTTAAAATATAAGTTTAAAATGATAATAGATCTTAAAATTGATTTTTGAAATATTAAAATATTTGATATATTTATTACAAGATATTCCATGCAACTGATCAGAGATAAAATGTTAAAAAAATGTTATAAAACAATATTAAATGATATTACATATTTCATATTTTTGCAGTTTTTGAATTCTTATATATTAATTGCAAAATATATTGTATCTTTTTTAATGCAAAATCACTGTTTACTTTTTTTAAATATAATCTTTATATAAATCGATTATTTTGATTATTCTTCGTACAAATCTATCCAGTTGCGTGAGAAATTCTATGAAAAGATGATACACACTAATATTAGTATTCAACAACTGTGTCCTTTTTTTATTAATTTATACATTTTTTTTGTTACCTAAAAAAAAGATGCTTTTGCCATCAGTGTGAATGACATCAACCAACTTGGCATCAGTGTAATCTAATCGTAAATGATTAGGCATTCCTTGAAAATAAGGCTCTGCAGGATCTAATCCAGTAATACGACCAATACTTCCTCCCATTTTTTCTCCAGCATATCCTGCAGTATGAGCTCCCAAGCTATGTCCAATCAAGTGTACATCATTTGGGTCCAGTCCATAATTTGTCTATATTTTAACAAACAATACTTCAATTTTTTAATCGTTTCCTCTAGAAATATTATTTGTACATTATATATATATTGTACGTGTATAATATTAATGATATATATACATTAATGTATTATACACATATATATTATTTAAAGAATTACACATATATAATTATTTAAAGAATTATTAATCTATAAAATAATTATAAAATTGTATATTTTTATATGATTACTTTTTACATACATGCTTCTTAAATTTTTTTATTCATTTTCTATATATTTTTCCATAGATATATATCCTTAAGATAAATTAAATTAAAATCATAAATAATAATAATAATCACCATGTGAAAAGCAGTGAAAGAAACGATTTATAGATTTAATTTATAGATTTAAACATACTTTTAGTTTCTTCATCATTCAAGTCAAGAATTTGACATTTCTTCATGCTCTGCTTTTGAGATATTTGTACCTAAAAATGAATCTAAGTGATCTAAAAGTTTGTTTTAAAATGAAATTAAGCCACAATGTTTTATAATATTGTTTATTAATAAATTTTTAATAAACAAAAATTTTTTTAATTTTTCAAAAATAACTAGTCTTTTTGCTTGGAAATTTATTATACCTGTAAATGTTTAATAAGATGAGCTATTTCAAGGCCCACCAGTCTGGTATTAGCAGTTGCTTGAGTATAAAGTGGTAAACTCCCTCCAGCCCAGTCAACTATGATAACATTGTAGTCATCATGTTTTAGCAATTCATTTCTCATTTCCTATATATTTCATATGAATTAATATTCTGAATAATTATATACTTAACTTTTATTTTAGCATTTATTTTTCAAAATCTATTAGTATAATTTTTAAGAAAAAAATTATAAAATTTATCATGTTTTAATTTCAACTAAATCATTATTAATCATGAGTATAATTAATCATATAATCAATCATGAGCTTACCTTAACCCAGTTGCTCAAGGGAGTATCTATAAACCCATGTATAATGAATTTTGTTTTTCTTTTAGAATTGAAGTTTGATCGTTTAATCGATTTATCTTTCGCAGCTGTCAACACCTGACCCTGTAAGAGAACATAAGAAATATCGTATTAAGAACTTTTTTGATATATTTAAAAAAATTAATAAGATAAATGTTTAAAAATATTTGTTATAATTTTATTGAAATAAATTTTTATTTTTAAATTGTACGAGATAAATATTTTTTAAGAATTTAGTATAGTAAAATATTTTTATTTTTAACATTTTAAGATATTGTATTTTGCGTAAAAATTATATAATTCTATGTAATAAATATTAATAATAATTATTTATATGATGAATAATTATATATATTAAAAGAAATTTAATGTTTAATTAACAAATAATTCGATAAATAAATCATTAAAATTTTTGATAAAAAGTAAATTTTTTCAATATTAAATATTCCTAATATTTCTAAACAATCTTTGGTATAACGCGGATTTCATTAAATTGTTAAAATTAATTAAATCAATCAATTAATTTTTTTAATTAGATTAAATATTTGATCATTTAATCTTGATAATTTAATCAAAATGTTTATCATAAGTAACTAAAATCTTTATTATTAAATTTTTTATATCACCATTCTTTCATTCATTGTACACATCTCCAATCTATTTTGCTATTTTTATCTTTGTGAAAATAAAAGCAATTAAAATATATGTTCTTCTTGATCTTAAAATTAAAATAAGTAAAAATAATTAGTAACTATTCAAAATTTTCATCGATTTTAATAATCTTTAAATATGTTGTAGAGGATAAGATTTTGGACAATTTTTTCTTTTGATTTTCGAGATGTTTGCAAAAAAGATTATTACTTACGAAAAAAGATCCTCAACCCGGAAATTCAAAAAAATTATAAAATTTTGGAAATACGTAAAGCTTATATAGTATGTATTATGTAATTTTTTTACTACCTGAAATCACTTTAAGGACATAAAATCAACTCTTGAAAATTTGGCTATTTTTCGACTTTACATTATAACTCTCGAACTTTAAGAAATACTTTATGAAAAAAAAAAAATGAAATGAAAAAAAATTTTCAAATAAATAATATAAATATTTATATTTTTTTATGAAGATTATCATCTCGTAAAAACATTTATTAATTGTTTATTCAATTAAAAATAATTATAAACAAAAAAATTAATAATTTAAGAAAATTTTTTTAACATTTTAACAATAGCTTAATAACTATGCGATGATATATTTTTTTAAATAAATAAGCTTTGTTGTGTTGTTGAGTGATTTCAAAAGTGATAGCAGAAAAAAAAATTATGTAATACATACCTAGCAATTACGTAATGCATAAGCATTATATATTTCCAAGTATCATAATTTTTTGAATTTCTGGATTGGGGATCTTTTCTTATTGAGAATGCTTACATAGAATTTCTCTTATGCATCGTATATATATGTATAATATCTTATACTTGTATGTATAAATATACAATCGCTATTTACATATTATTTCTATATGTAAATTCATCATACCTATTGAATTTTAATTTATGAATAAGAAATAGTTAATTAATAATAATACCGTTTAAATTGATAATTAATAAAGATTTATTTATGAATAACGAGAATAATTTTTTGTCGAATAATATTATTATTTATTATTCGTAAAATTTTAGAAATTTATTCCATACTTTTTATTCGAATAAAATTTGCTTAACTTTAAATTAAAATATTATAGTTACTGATATAGTTTCCCAACACTATAATATATATTTGTGGGATATTTTTGCAGGATTGATTCTAGAAAAAATAAAAGTTGATTGAGATTTATTTATTAAATTAAATTATTTATTAAACAATTTAAATTTATATTAGATAAAATAAAACAGTGAGACGTGAAAGAGTTGTTTCATTTTATCTGTGTTTTATTATTATGCATCTAATTAGTATATATATAGTATATACATAAATAGTCTAATTATATTTTAGAATATAATAAATAAGTCTCAAATGATATTTTTGAATTTGTTTGATTTCTAGAATAAAAAAAAAAACTTTCAAAAATATTCTATGAATATATTAATAACTTGTATATATATATACAAAGTAAGTCAATAAGAATAACTATCTGAAATAACTTATTATCTGGTTTTATTACGAAACATTTGAAATAAAATTTATTATATTTGAAAGATTTACTTTAATTTAATGAATAAACTTTGATTTTTTTAATATCTGTTTACATTTTTTAGATATAAGATATCTTAGATTTTTTAAATGGCATAATATATTTTTTTCTATTTTTTATAGTCGTTAAAAAGAATTTAACAATCCATATTATACTTTTTATAATTTTCAGTTGACTTTGAATTTCAAAACGAAAAATTTAGAAAAATTTATGGAGAATAATTTTATTTATTTTTAATGCTTTAATTTAAAATACGTATATAAAATTATGCTTATTTAAATTTTGATATTTTTTTAAATGATATTGGAATGAAGTAACATGTAATTTTTCAAACAAACTATTATAATATTATCGCATATCTTCTGAAATAGTAGAAATAATTCATTAAGAATTTCTTTCAAAATTCATATATTCATATAATCAATTTGCAAGACAACTGTTTTTACAATATCACATTCTAAGTCAATTTTTTAACGGAATTTTTTATGATGTAATTATCTAAGATATAACTTATCTCTTAGAAAATCTATGTATTTCTACCAATTAATATTTCATAAAGAACTAATTATGATTTTACATTATATATTTATATATTTATATATTTATATACTCCTCTGCTTTATTTGTTGAAGCCATCACGGTTTTTTTTGCAAATCATTAATATATTTTTCTATTGATATTATCATAGTTTGTAAAAATTGATTCATTAGTGAATAATGTTAAATAAAATCATTAGCTGCAAGTTTTATTCATAAAATTTTATTTGTTTATAAAAATTATTATCATGTAGTTCTTGATGTAAGGACATATGATAGGAATAAAAATAATTTTTGTGCAATATTCAAATCATACTATTTTGATTAATATCATTATAATTATTATCGTTTCATTTGTAGCATGTTTTTTTTTAAGTTTATTGCATATCATTTATATATTATTACCGTTGAATTTAAATAATTTTGTTATATAACGAGTTTTTACTTTTTTAATATCTTTAAAACACATGTCATAGATCATATCTCTTTTTTTCACATTATCGTTTTTTATCGTTCTCTACTGTTCTCTAGTACAGATTCAGAATTAATGAAATTATAGTTTATTATTTCAGCCAAATGCAATTTATGCTGCAGACGTATCCTTATGCTTGACTAATATTATTTCTCTATTATATAATTATAACAAATTATGTAAACCTTAATATTAGTAACAACGCCTCCTTTATCGCATATATCGAAATTATTTCATTTTTAAATTGAAAACAAAATGATTTTTTATCTTTTCTTGATTTTTTAGCAAAAAGGTCTGATCTATTATATGCTATGATTAAATTTTCTTTTAAATTTTTAATTTTTAAGATATAAATAAATTGAAAAAAATCAAAATTGAATGTGTTTTTAGTATCATTGATCATTATTTAAAATTTATTTAAATAATTATAATTTAATAAATATTTAAGTTCTATCGAAGATAAAATCGAAGATATATTTAAGTTCGAAGAATAAATATTTAAGTTCTATCGAAGATCAAATATATATTAAACATATTAAACAATGTATTTAATTGATAAAATAAAATAAGATAAAATAATTATACTTACCTCGATGAGATTTTTGTTCGTATACAAGATAAACCTTGTATTGATGACTTCTCGTGGTAAAGGGAAGACATTAAGTGGTCTATGTATCAGATGATACCAGTTCCTGGTTATGTTTAAACAGCCTAGTTCATCGTAGCATCGTGTTTCATTCTCGACTAATAAGATAATAAAAATTATTATAGTAATAGTTTTTTTTTCAAGAATTTAAATATTATATTGAAAATTATATAAAATGTTTTCGAAAATATTTTTCTTGAAATATGAAATATCTACATACATTTAGTCTCAAAAATATTCAGACACTAATATATTCTTAATATTTTTAATTATGGAAAAATAAATTCAAAACTTGTTTCTTTCGGTAGAGTATTTTACAAATATATACAGATTATTTAATTAATCTAATAGAACAAAATAATATAATTATATCATAATTATTTTTTGCATTACAAAAATATTTAGATATTTAAGAAATTTATTATGTTAAAATAATTAAAATAATAATTTTTTTTATAAAAGTTAAATATTAGTTTGAGGCTAATTGTATATATAAAAACAAAAAAACATTTTTTTAATTTTAATATGTCAATATCAATTTTTTGGAAGTCATATCAATTTGAATGAAATGCTTTTTAAATAGAATATTATATTTTTTTTTATATTATAAAATGAAATAATGTTAAAATAAATTTATAATGTAAATTATTTATGCTTTGATTACGTATAAAATCATATAAGATCAGAAATGAAAGTAATTTCTAATAGTTTTAATTAATAGTTAATTGTCTCGATATTGAAAATTCGTAGTATATTCATGGTATTTATGTGCTTTGGAATAAAAAAAATCTATTGTAGTCAATTAAAATTAATTATATTGATAGAGATATGTAATTTTATGTTAATTACTTGTCTACCTTTCTTAAATATAAGAGAATTCTTTATAAAATTCTCTAATAAATATGAAGATACATCTTCAGATTATTAATCTTTTTTAAAACATAAAAAACTGAAGATAAATTTTGTTTTTTCAAACAATAAAATAATATGAATTGCATACGAAATCATTCAACTATTATATACAAAATATTTTTCCTGCAAATAATAATACATAATAATATCAATCAAGATGATATATGTTAAATGAAACATCTCTATAACTCAAACTCCTTGTATATTTAATATAAGAATATTTCATATTGTCAATGTGATTAGATATTATAATTGATTATCAAAATATTTCGTTTTTCTCAAAAATACATGAACACAAAAAAAAAATATAATAAAATATTGAAGATATTCTTTTCATTGCTTATTTCGTGAGTTTTGTCATATTTCTTTTATAGAATAAATATAAATATAAATATAACAATATATGTCAAAGTATAAACTGAACGATTTTAAAATTATTGCATAAATGTGATGCTTGATACTGATACTATTACTCGAAGGATCACTTACTTTCAGGACTATATAATTATTTATATTATGAGCTTTGATTGAACTAATAGTGATTTACTTTAACTGTTTATGGCTGATTGACGACTGTAATTATTCTAACTATACTTTGATGCGAACTATATTGTTGCTAAATTCTATCTGTATTCTATTTCTATTCTAACTGATCTCATTTAGAAAACTGTAGCGGGTCTTGGTTTTTCCTTCAATCATTACTTTTCGTGAAAATGCAAACTAAAAATGGATTAGAGGGACCAATACACGCGTTGAAAGGTAATTTCGAAAAATAAATCCTCGCATCGCAGTGTGTGGGGATCAGGATCTTTGCTTCCATGGTGGTTTGTTGTAAGGTATAGAAATAATGACTTGTGAAGTGGCCATTGCTACTACATATATCCATTTAAATTGAAGATCTGAAAAGCGTTAGGGAACTATATTTACATAATTATTGTGAAACTATTGAAAATGCTCGAGCTATTGGAAATAAATTCTGTTTGACCGCTTCACAAGTTTTAAATTTGTCTTTAACAATAATTAACGAACTTGTAAGATTAGTTATTCTCCCATTGATTTCGATGATTTTTAAATATATTATAAAATCGATATTTTTAACAAAAATGTTCTTTCACAAAAATATGGGAATCTCTTATAATTAGTTTCTAAAATATTCGTAAAAAATTATCGTTATTACATAATTAATTTTTTCATATTATATCCATGCATGTGCATCAACATGCAATTGCTACTTATCAATTGTTTATGTAAACATGATCTTCAAAATGTATAGGAATAAATTAAAATTAGTACATTTATAATTAGTATCTATCCATAGCAAGCTTAAACATCCTTCGAATTCCCGGAATGTGAAAATAAAATATAAAATAACTTTTGAAATCGAAATTATAATAATCGATTTTAATAACAAGAAAAATTTCTGATTTGCAAATTCTGAAAATTTTGAAATTTTGGGGATACGTAATATAGCTGTAGATATTTTTTTTTTTTTTTGCTATTCAAATTTAGGAAATTATTAATAACTTTTAGGAAATTATTAACTCATGAAAATTGAAATATTTTTTAATTTTGTGTTATAATTCGTAAAGTATAAGAGATAAAAAAGAAGTTTTCAGATAAAAATTGTTTCTTTTAATTAGGACTATTGTTTAGCATAACATTTATTAATTGTTTATTTAATTAAAATGAAGTTAAAAATTTATAATTTTTTTTTTCAATTTATTTTTTCATATGAAATCTTAATAAATAATTTCAATAATATAATAATATAATTATACTAATTGTAAAATAATATTAAGAAACAAATTTTTTTTTGTTTCAAATACAAATTTCGTTATATTATTGTATTACATTACAAAATCTCATCTAATAAAAGATTTTTTTTTATTTATATAAATTACATAAACAATTAATAAATTTTTTATTAAATGATTTCGTTAGTTTTCGTTAAAATTTTTTTCACTCTTATAGTGAATTATAATACTATTTATATTATAATAATATATTATAAATTAAATTATATAATTAAAATTAAAATTGAAAAGTAGCACATTTTTATGGATCGATTTTGCCTCTTTAGAATTTGGGTAATATAAAGAAATTGCATAATATACATGCATATTTTTTTTGATTGATCAATTTGAAAATTTTTTAAATTTACGTGTATCAAGAATCTTTCCTTACTTTTATAAAAAAGTTAATATTACTACTACTATTATTATCATTATTGTTTTATATTTTATTTTTATTTCGCGAAGAATATATAAACGAAATTCAATGTAATAATGATAATAATTTTTTGCAAATAAATTTTTTTGCTTATAAATTAAAAAAATGTTATATTTTTGTAAGATTTGTCAAAAATTTCAATTTACAACATATTTGTCGTGTCCACAGTAGTAGTGATGGATTGTAATTGCATGAAAACATATGTTAAATGCTCTCTCGATTGAGATGTGTATGTGTGTAAAGAAACTGGTGCTTATGATTGTTGATGTATTCATCATGAATGGACTGTATTAGTACGGTTATAAGCGCGGTACGCGTATTTATATAAGAGCTGGGTCTCTCACAATGTCATAGTAGGTAATCGTGTCGACGATTAGATCACGGTGTGTAATTACAAAGAAACTATCTATTTATTGCATCCAGCAGTCAGAGTACAACCCATTCACAATGAGACTTTCTTTACTAGTGAGACTCATGCCCTCAGAAAATTCCTTCCCACTTTAATTGGAAAGATTATAGTTTTCCGATGAAGCATGTTGATAACTAATAATATCGCGATTAGTATTTGATTCGCGATACACTCATGTTAGAAAAAATTTCTCAAATTAGAATGATGTTAATTGCTGTTGAGTCAACCATGTCTGAAGTATGTCATTCTTCTTGGGACCGGGCTTCGATCTAGCCAAGTTGAAGTATGTCAAAAATATATAATTATAAGTGTAATTATAAGTGTATAATTTTATTCTTTTGAAAAACAGCAATTTTAGATAACATCATCCTTTGTTTAAGCTTAATAGAGTTTGATGATAATAAGTGAAGATATAATATATGCTCGCGAACAATATTTAATAATCATCGAAATTAGTGAGAGAATGGCTAATATGTATTGATGTATTAATATTTTCGAATATTTTTAAAGATTCAAGAGGGCAAAATAAATATAAAAGTTATACAAAATGGCAGTTGAAATTTATTTATTATTACAAATAAGTTGAAGTTTGCATTACATCATCTTGCACGAAACAAAACACAGATAAAGTAAAACAAATTTATTTTTATTTTTATCATATTACCATTTAATTTTAGTTCGCTTCTAATCTAATTTTAAATTACTTATAATTTAATAAATATAAGGTAATCAATATTTTAATAATCAATTTTGTATTTTTGTATCTTTAAAATCGATCCTTTAATGATATTTTATGAATATATTAATACTTTGTATATATTATTATATAATGTAGTATATATATTATATGTAAAAAATATATCATGTTATTAAAAATAGTAAAATCATTATTTTTTATTCTTATTTTCATTATTCTTTGTATTTATTATTTAAAAAAAATTAATTAACTTAAAATGTTAAATTCGTGAATAAAATTATAATTGTATATTATATTAACGTATATTAACTTGTATACGTATATTAATTTCAATTTTATCTTTTAATTTTAAAATAGAAAGTATCAAAAAAAAAAATGAATTTAAGATTTTAAGATATGATACTTATGATACTTATCCAAATAACATAGGTTTTTCAATCAATCCTTTCGATTTTATTATTTATAATATCGTAAATTATTTCCTAATATATTAAATGTAAAGAAAAGGAATGATTAACGAATATATTAACTCAAAATTATCAACACAAAATTATTATTAATATTAAGATTTAATATTAAAATATAAACTTTATAAATGCAAATGAAGCATAAATGTTCAGTATTCATTTAATATTGAATATAGAAAATATTTTCAGATTATTAATGCTTATTATTCGAATATAGAAATTGCAAATATGTATTTTATTATATGGCCTTGCTAATTTTTCGTTTGCATTTATAAAATAATCTTTATTCATGTTAATAATAATTTTGTATTAACAATCTTAAGTTATGTTAATGAATCAATTTTTTTATTTAGATTCAATGGAAAAACTATTTCAATTAAATCATATTGAATGTTGGTAATATTGATAATATTGATAATAGTTGATTTTACATCGAAAAGATTGAATGTAGGACTTATATTGTTGTACATTTTTTTTATATATATTCATATTATATATATTCATCAAATGGATTTTTAGATTTAAAATAATAATAGTATGCGATATATTGCAAATATTGAAGTTTCGAATATATGTAAATATGTATAATTACATGGCAACCAAGGAATGTTGACTTCTATTCGATCACTACGTGCCCACTGCCAAGGATCCAAAACTCCGGCGGAGCAGATAACAGGAGCCAATGCGACGAATAACAAAATTGATGCTCCTTCGTCTTCGATGGCTCTTTGCTTCTTTCTCCTCATCCTGCAAATAAAAGAATATATTATTGTTTAAGTTTTTATCTATTTTTGATAATAAAACTTCAATAAAATAAAGATAAAAATTGTAACAACCATTATCCTTCATTAATATTTCTTTTTATAGTTTTTGTGTCTGTATATTTTAATAGAATATTATTTCTTCTGATTTATTTTGTAATTTTCAAAAAATCAAAAGAAAAAAAAATAAATTATTGCAAAATAATCGTAATTTCAAAATATGAATAAGGATTTATAGTATTATACTATTTCTAATTAAATAGTAAACAACAAATAAAATGACGAGTTAGCAGACTTAATATCAGAAATTTTATTAATAATTTTATTAATAATAAATGTAATAATTATTATTATATAATTATTATTTTATTATTATATTATATAATTATTATTATATTAATTATTATTTAATAAATAGTAATAAAATGGATTTCATCTCTTTTTCAGATGTCAAGAATAATTTTTAAGAAATAAAAAAAAGATCTAAAAATTAAAAATTTGAAACAATACTTGAAATTGTGCTTGCCATGCTTATTATAAATTCATTGTGATTATCTAAAATGAAATTTACATATATAATTATTATAAAAAAAAACAATCATATTATTATAATTAAGATTTATATATCATTAAATCTTAAATCTTTTTTAATGCAACTTCTGAAGTTATTTTTCACAAAAGTTAGATGATTAATATTATCATCCGAATTTTCACTTACAATTTTAATTTAATTTCTAATAATAATAAAAAGAAATAAAATAAAATAAAATAAAATATTTGCAACTTTTTTAAGATTTATAATATTTATAATGTTTATATAGAACATTTTCAAAGTTATCTATTTAATTTTTTTGATTCATTTTTTTCTTTGAAAAATAAAAAAAATTTCTTATATTTCTTTCTTTTCCTCTATTATTATATTTATATTTTTATTGTATAAAATGATTAATTTCGGAATTTCAAATAGTTATAGAAATGTTTATTATAAGTTATTTATTAAATTAAATTATTATAATAAATTTATTATTTATTTTTTATTATTAAGATATAATAAAATAGATAGTTCCAAATTTTATAAATTAATATGTAGATTTATATCATAACATTATATAATATGTAGTGCATATCTTTATATATTTACTAATTAAGAATGATATTTATTTATGTTATGTATAAACTGCGTATGTATGTATATGTTTTTAATAAAAATAGAGAAATAGATATATTATTAATATTAATATATTATTATTAATTTAATAAAATTATTTCAAAACTTTTTTATATAATATACCTTATATAATTTTTATTTATAAAGAAAATATAAAAATAAATTTTATTAAAAAAAGAAAATAATAAAAATTCTTAATAAAAAAACAATTGTTATGAAAATTATTAAATCGAATGATTAGAATAAAATATACAACACAATTCGTTTATTAAATAAGATCATTATTGTATAATAATCTTTTTATAACAATTGAATCGTATTATCATAATGTATATTTTAACATATTATTAAATAGAAAATATTATCACAAGTATCGAACATTCATTACTTCTTTTTAGTTTAATTGCTACTAATATTACATAAATATGTTTTCGTTAATTCGCAAAATCTTCAAATTTGTATTAAGAAATTGAATGCCACATTTAATATTAAGAAATAAGATATATTATTAACAATAACAAAAATTAATATAAAGAAAAAAAAATTCATTGATTTTTTCAAACATTTTACTATTAAACCCATACTGTTTTGTATAAGCATAAAGATATAATATTTAATATTATAATTTTTAATTATTTTGTAATATAATCATTTCTAAAAATTTGTAACAGATATGAGCATTGATAAATTATATATTCTATACACATATATTATTAAAACTTACATTAAATACAAACAAAATATAATTAAAGTATAAAAATATTGATAAATATTTATAAATTAAAAATAAAATGTAAAAATACTCATGAATTAATATATAAATTATATATAAAAATATTATATATATAAAAATATGTAATATAAAAATATTTAATATATTGTATACATACAAATATTTAAAATTAATAAATTGAATTAACAAAATTTATATATAATTTGTATTTATATTAAATATTTTAGCTTAATATTTGCAGCTTTTCAAATATTTAAATAAAATTTTTGAAAATCAATATTTTCAATTATATAATAATCATTACACAATTTTTGCTCAACTTCATATGGCCTTTTAAATTATTATTAATTTTTTTATTTATTAACATTTATTTATATATTAATTAGTATTAATTTTTTTCAAAATTCTAGGCGTTTTGAAATTTCTTATTAATACCTATATCATTTGAATTTTTAATACTATTTAAATTTCACTTTATCGCTTTATTTATATTCTGAATATTTTTTTGGTTATTCCGAATATTATTGATTATTTTTTTCATATTAAATGATAATTTACTCATTGTCTCTTCCATAGTTTTATTGCTTAACGTAAATTCGATTTTTTCTAATATTTTATACCAATAATTTGATAAAATGGCGAATTTATTTGGTTCATAAAATGAACAAGAAAGTAATGCATTGATAACGAATTTTATATTATATGATAAATCTTTCTAAAACGATAAAAAAAAATAAACTTTATATAATAAACATAATATTATACATATAATGAGTTTACATGTAAAACAAAACAGATTATAGTGTTTAATTTGCATAAATAGCAAAATAAATCTAAATATATCTTGAATCTAAATATATCTTGAATCTAAATATACAAGAGGCAGATAAATTAATATAAATTTTATCAATTTCAAGTAAATGAATAATATAGGAAACAATAATAATTATTCTTATTTTTATGACAGGAAAAGAAAACATTCTATCCGAGAAGTAAAATCTGAATCAGATCACGAAAATGCTAAAGTCTTAAAAATTAATATTTATCAATAAATTTATTGGATAGTGAAGATTGGAATTTTGAAAGAAACAAAAAAGAAACAACAATTACTAAATTATAAAATATTCATGTTCAAAAAATTGAGCTATAAGATATTCAAGCTAAATATCGAATTAAATGTTGTTTTTTTAGATTCATTGAAAAGAGACACATTCAACAAGAATTAGAATTCATGTTGAGCAATCAACGACAAGTTTAATTTTTTCTATAGTATTGAATGACGATATAAATAAATTAATATTTGTTAAAATTAAGTCCAATTAAACTAATAATGTAAATCTATTTTATTGAAGTTGAATTTAAAAATATTCATATTCTCAAGTATGAGCAGATAAAGAAAAATCAATTTTAAATGTGATCAAAAAAAAGGATTACTATTTCGAAACTATCAATCCGAAAAAATAAAAGAAATTAATACGTTAAAAAAACTATCCTAAAATATAAAAAAGAAAAAAAAATTCACTAATAGTAAAACTGATTTATTAAAAAGAATCACTAAGCAGAATTTAAAATACAGGACCTTGATGAGAAGGTCGTTTACTCAAGCAATATTAGCAATTTAAAATTAATCACTCTCAAATAACAATATTCTGATATCAATATTCAAATCCAAATAGAGATAGAGTGATTCAAGGATCAATTTCACAAGTAGGATTAAATATAATATAAATAACGTTGTCAGATTAAAATATTTTTTGCAAAATATAAATTAAAATAAATTTGTTCTGAACATTCAGGACTATAAATATATATATATTTTTTCAAATGTCAAGAATATCCATTTAGAATAAAATTAAAAGCGGAAATTAATTGTAAAAAGATTATTGAACTGTTGTTAATAAAGAATAGAATCTGTATTTAATTCGTAAAAAGATCATTTTCGTCTTCGTATTTACTAGTATTAAAACTCCATGAAATATATAAATTTATTCTTAATCTAAAAAAATAAGTTTGTATTTACAAAATATTTCAAAGAAAAGAATGGTCTCTAATGAAATTAATTTTTTCCAGTTATTTCATGGTTTCAGTAGATCTAGAAGATTATTTAATTTCTATTTATAAAATATTTAGGATTTTAATTAATAAACTATATGAATTCATATTATTTTTTGGTCTTTATATATATATATATATATATATATATATA